TGTACCTTGGCGAATGCTCTAGCATTTACTAGATATAGGATAGTCTGGTATATAAAAGAGGGTGACAACGTGACATAATAATGGAATGTGTGTGTAGACAGTGAGTAATTGAACTACAGTCACAGGGTATTGTTGAAGTTAACGTTCGTTCGTTATAGTGTTTGCTTTAGCGCGAATATTGAAATTAAGTGTATCGTAAAGTTATATTCGGAAAGAATAAACCAGTTTTATTAAGTAAGGACTTGTGTCGTTAAAGTTTCGTCGGAACGAAGTTACGGAAAAATCAATTAACAAACGGAGACGTAACAATATCAATTTAGTGATTTTTTTACCAAGTGTTATGTGAAACTGCATATACCGAATAAAAGCTTTTTTTTTAAATCTGCATTCAAATTAGAAAGTAGAAAATGCAAAGTACGATTGCATATCACATAGTGATAAGGTAATATCTCTTAACTTGTTTACTTTAGAGAACAGAAGGATAGAAGATAATCTTATTGAACTTTAAGAGATTATCCTGAGTATTGATAGAATAAAATTTTGGGCTTTATTCTGAAGATAATAGGATAAGAAGTCTTGAGTTTAAGGTCTAGAAGATGGGCTAGTTTACAGTTAGGAAAATTTTATTTTTCTAACAGGTGGATGACTTATTGAATTGGTTGCCCCTTTATATCACTGTAGCATGAACAATGCTACAAATTAAAGCATGGTTTTGTTTGATGGCAAATCACATAATTGTATACGGATGTGACACATTTTACTAACATGACTTGGATAGTGCGTGCGACTGTAGAGAGAGAAAAAAAGCTTTATTATGATGTTTCCTTTGTTTGATATAGATTGTTCTTCAGCGATATTCTTTGTTTGAGATAGAAAATCTTTAGAATTGTAGATTATATGTATTACAGCTTTGACTTTAGCATCAAAGAACTAGAGTCACACTGGTGAGAGTGTAATTGTTGAAGCGTTAAACTTGACTTTGTTTTTGTCTATAATAAAGATTGTGATTGTTTACAACCACAGTCTCTTTCTTTTGTGTAAAGCTTCAGTCATGAATATAAAAGACACAAGCAGTATCTGACGAATCCTTCTTTTTAGAGGGATGTTTAAATTTTTTTCTCAAACACAGGTGTTTAAAGACAGCTTCGATATTCCAAATGCTACTTTGTTGTCCATAGGTTATCTGAAGTTAATTTAAAACTGCTAACCATAGGGAAAGCAATAAATAGGTAGTGTTTGCCGTCTATGCGGGTATTCTTAACCGAAAATTGGTTGTAACTGTTATGTTTATGACACTCCCACAGTTAAAAGTGTGAAATGTGACCTGAGGCATATCATAAGATAAGATTAAAAGACAACAATGACAACTAAGCCGTCCTATCTATTAAATTAAACTAAACCCTACATAACTTAAAGCCAGTCCTTATCCTTCAAACGTTTATAAAGCTTTCCTTTGACTTTAAATTAACTGTATCTATCACATCTGAAGGCAACCATTCCAAAGGCCGAACAATCTGTTAGAAAAGTAAAGCTGTTTTAGCTGAAGATAACTCCTAGCCTGCCAAAATTCATATCATTTTCACCATCACATACAGAAAAATGATGTATCAACATTATAAGTTATTTTAACGATCTTAAGTACCTCAACGAGATACTGTCTTCTTTTTTCAAGAGAAAACAAGTTCAGAGATATTAACAAAACTTACAAGGTATCATCGTAGTAACTTTCCTCTGAGCCCTTTTCAACAATTCAATGTTCTTTCTAAAGTATGGAGCTCAAGACTGAACACAATACTCCAAAGGTGACCTAACCAATGATCTATATAATGACATTATATCCTCTTTAGACTTGTATTCAATAATTTTGTAGATACAACCAAGTTTGGGTCGTTTAGGGGCATATTAATGACATGTGCCCCCAGGGGCACAGCGGTCTGTCTGCGAACTTACAACGCTAGAATCCGGGTTTCAATACCCGTGGTTTGCACAGCACAGATAGCCCATTGTGTAGCTTTGTGCTTAATTATTAACAAACAAACAAACAAATACTGACATACATAATAAATAAAATAGGGTTAACCACCCCTTCTTGGGGACACCTGCCTGTGGAGTGAAGTACTCCGAGATTAACTGTACACAGCGTGGTCACAAGTAAATAGACACCACCTTTTCAGAAAAAATGAAAATTTTCAGTCATTTTTATATGAATTGATATATTTATAATTTAATTAATATCTAGTAGATCTTCCTTTCGCTTCGCGGAGTTCGTTGATCCTTTGGGGCATAGTGAGAATCGTCTTGTCAGTTTTAGATTGTGGGATTTTCGCCCACTCTTGCTTCAAAACTTGGAGTAGATCGCTCTTCGAAGTTGGTTTTTTTTTTTTTGTTGTTTATTG